CTCCGGGGTCGTATATCATCATATTCGTTCGACCGTAAATATACGTGAACAATTCGAACTCACGTGATAGACGCTTTGACGCCGGGCTTCTCTGATTTCCGACGTAAACGGAACACAAAACGACCTTCATCTGAAGCGTAGTGGGGTTTAATAATTAATCCCTAGACAACGTCAGATTTAGACCACAATATCATATAGACGCTTACTTATAATATATTTTTTGATCGTATATGTGTTTTGAAATTGGATAGCATGTGTGATGGGTTCAATTTTAATTTTACTTTCTGCTCTTTGTTTGTTTTGCCAGTGACCACCCACCTAAATACCTAATATTGTGTCAAGGAGGATCAAAGGGTAAACTTTCTCTGGGACATAATTTGGTAGAGAAAAGAAGCACGACGTGTATTCACTCCTTTTTTTCTCTAAAACATCTTTCTTTTTAAAAATAAAATAAAAACACTTAAATGTCATTTAAATCTGACAGTGAGCAGGGATTTTAATTAAAAATCTTTTTCTTTTTAAACAAATTTTTGAGAAAAAGAAAAAAATTGATAACAGGCATATTAATACGTGATATTACAAATAGCCAAATAATAATAAAAATATAATATTTCATACAAGCACAATTTTCTTATTTGTACAAATAACAACTATGAGGGAAGGTTTTAACCTTTAAACAAGAAATAACAAAAGTTTATAATTTTTTACCAAAATATTAGGCTGAAACTTATACTTATATTTTTAACCTCATTTCCTACAGATATTTCATACTACAACTGGTATACTATACGGTTATATTGAGTGTATTGTGTCCTGGAAATAACTAACCACGCCTGCTCTATTCTCCATGAGATACTATATTTTCAACATTTTACTATTGGAAAATATAATTCTTTGGTAAATTTCAGTTCTCATATTATAACCATTGTGTATTGTCACTACATTTATAGGTGATACAGAATATTAGCGTAATAACTGTAATCGATATGTTAGGAAGTATGACAATCGAAAAATATATTAAATAGGTATTCGAATTTATATCACAATTGAAACTTTTCTAATAACAATCAGTAAGTAGGTAGGTAGGTAGGTAGATAAGTATTACGGGCGTTTGACAAGAATCTACGCAGATCCTTTTCCCAATAACTTAAACCTCACTGCGATAATCATTAGATGAAGTTGATACCGTTTCCTTTGGGAATCGCTGTTGTTACCCGATGTCATATCCCGGTACCGGTGCAGGTGCAGCTGACACTTTTCGATTAGGTCATTGGTGGTATTGCAATACTGCGCAGTGATACCATGCGTATGGTACTTATACAAAATGTAGTGGCGGAAGTAGGGTTGATAGGACCATGCGCTCATCAGACGGCCATGGGTATACGATAGTCCTGTGCTGCCATTACGCGGGATGACAACCCCGTAGTAAATATAAACGAAGCAGACCGGTCGTGTCTTCCTGTTCCTCATTATCTACCTACCACCCACCACATCTCATCCTTATGACTATCTGCTACAGTACCGCCTCCACACACAATCCGTTATCCCTTTGCCCTATATACTCTAATGTAACTCATGACCCATGCCCGACCGATTTTGACCCCGACTGTCCCATATCACTGCTCATTTCGACTTCCTAACTAGTCGATGTATTTGTATTACATATGTGTGATATGCGAGCGCATTCGTGTGTGTGTGTGCGCGCGCGCGTGTGTGTGTGTATTGTATATTCAATATTGACAAAAACATAAAGAAGTATAGTTATTTGAACTTCCGTTTCCGATAAAAAATTTATTAGGTATTGTATAAATTAATTTGAATCTCAAAAAATTATACTTGTTTGCATTTGAAATAAAGAGATTTACCACTTGTTGTAATTCTGTTTTAGGTATGCATACTACTCCGTAGTTTTGTATTTTCTTTCTAAGAAATCGAAACACCCAAATCAAAAAAATATTATTACTTTAAACTTTAAACTACTTATATGAAACAAAAAACGATCAGTTAAAAACATTCTCATTTAAATATAATAAACTGTACACGGATCTATAAAATTTTATAATGAAATATATCAATTAATAAATGTATTATGCCAAAATATAACGTTGTTGATGTTGATGAATTGTTATTTTTTTAGATTTTATATTATATTATAAAATATAGTATTTCCAAAAACTATAATTATTTCGATTCATATTTAATTATAACTTATCAGTATTAAATATCTATCAAAAATTAATTATGTAACGGGGCTTGCTGCTATTAAGCTAAAACCTCGACAAATTATAATTTTTAATTGTTATTATTGAGAATTTTGAACTGCAAACTAAGAGAAGCCTACATATTGTATATCAAATAAAACTCTATTGCTAAAAAATAAAAATAAGTATTAGTAAATATTAAAATATAAGCTTAATACTCGTATTTATCGAAGTAACTAAAAAAACAATTCTAAATTATTTTTTTTTAAATATTTAATTTATTATACTTTAATATTATGTTAAATTTGACATATTTCACAAATTTATACAAATATTATACGTTGGTAATAATATTACATTATAGCTTAACAATATATTATTATACAATTATTAGTTGTATAATAACGATATAAAAGATTATGATAAGAATTAATGTAAACGTGATACAGTTAACGGAAAAAAAGGATTTAATTTTTAAAAAGTTATTAAAAATTCGTGGTCATAAAATAAATAAACTATAATGTATGAAAATCATAAATTTTTGGTTATTTTTAAATGGTCCTTTACCGGAGGTAATTATATTATTTGTATATGATAAAAACAGTGTTAAATAGTTTAATATAATTACAAACCTTGAATAAATTTGTAAAATCATAAAAATTACAAACCCAGCCAGAAAAAATATAAAAAACAAACATAAATTTTTTATGTTACTGTAGCAAGGATAAAATTTATCATATTTTAAACACAGAGATTTAAATCTTAATCAACCATCGTTTAAGGGCAGAAATATACACTACTTAATTTATATACAATGCTGTATTTTATCTATATTTATTCCGTGTTTAATACCATCCTGATATTTCGTTATAACTTAACATCATTATTCTTATTGTAAATTATAACACACGTTAAAGTATATTATTTTTACGCATTATTAAAAAGGAATTTATTTGATTACTAAACAATATTATTATAACGTTAAATTTAAATAATATTTGCAATTTATTTTTTTTTTTTCAACAGTAGGACACAATATTTAAAAAAAAAAATATGAACTTTGGGCCCGTAAATACTTAAAAAAAAAAAGATGTCGCATGCTTGACTAGCGCAGTTGGTGGAGCGCGATATTCTTAATCTCAAAGTTGTAGGTCGAGCTCCACGTTTCTGTATCGCTTATAATAGGCGGCACTCACTAAAACCTTCTATTGTTTTACCTTTGTATCATCTAAGTTAATGACTTTTTCTATTTCTTGGTTGCTACAAATATTGTGAATTACAATGGTATACGTTTGTATATTTAACGTTCGTATATCTTTATGACTTCGCTATACATAATGCGTATATAATATTAATAATCCGTTGTTGCTCATTCATAAGACTTCATTAATGTTATGATATTTTTATGCTACAATGATATTCGACCGTAAAGATACAACAGACATTAGATAGATTAGCCAGCGACTTCGGTGTTTTTCAGTAAGTATAGTTCGAATGGTCGCGGTGTGTGTTTAGGACGCGTATCGTATCCAGTCGTTTTTTACACATTTTTTTTGTTATTCTATTAGTAAAAAAAAATCTTTAATTTTTGTTACAAAGAAATATTTAACGGAAAATTTGTTTTTAAATTAATACCGTAATATCACTTCCATAATGTCTAACGAAAATTTTTAGTTTGTTGATACATTTGGTAATAATATCCAAAAACAAAGAACCCTCGGTTTTTCTTATTTGCACTGACACCGTGCCGACGTTACTCGCACGGTAGAACATATTTAAATAATTGTAAGAACATTTTAGTGCACATTTTGTTTTGAAACACTTTTATTAAACTCGAAAACAAAAATTAAATAACGCACAAACCCGTGTTATAGCCGTCGCCTATCCATATTATAAAACCTCTAAACACTTCTGCCGAACTTTTAGAAAACAGCAGCCAGTCAGACTTCCCGTGTCTCGTATCATGGAGGCATTTTACTACTAAAAATAAATTACAATTACGTGTTCTTAACATATTTTTTTTTTTTTTTTTTTATTGGCCCGGCCCATATTAATAACTTGCTATGCTAAGATATAATTCTTATTATATCGCATACGATGTATACAATATTGATAGATTACTGTTTTGACACATTTGGATATTATTAATTTATTATTACTATAAGTAAGTTAAAACAATTTAACTACCAGTAAAGAAAAATACAGAAATATTGTGATCATAATAAGTTCATTTTTTTATCAGTTAACAATAAATAAATATAATATTCGAAGAAATCGTATATATTAAAAAAAAAAAAAAAAAAAAAAAAATGGCTATAGAATTCAAATAGCTTTAATCTACAACTTTGTCACTTTCATTATGATCATGTAGGTATATTTATTTATTGATTTATTTAGTGACACCCTCGTAGGGTAAGTAAGTACAGAAATACATAAACGTAGAACAATAACACTTACAGGGTGCATACAATTAAGTTAACAATAAATAATAATAAGTACAAAAAGATATTTTTTTTAAATATGATAAAAATAGATAATTATTTAGAAATGAATTGAAAGAATGATGGTACACGGCAAACAAAAATATTAAATAGAAAAAATTAAAATTAGAGATAGTGCCTAGTAAGTATATATTTTCGATTTGTCAACATCGTCGTAGAACAAATCATGACTTGATATGTTGTTACAAAAGATTAATAAACGGTTAAGTGCACTGTATTTAACACAATTATTATTGCCTAAATTAGTGAAAAATAATTGAGACTGACGAGTATTACAAGCTAACACTTTAAGACAAATCCATAATTTAATTAGTTATTATTGTTTTTTTTTATATTCAATTCCATTTAAAAAACTATTTTCAAATTCCTCTAATAACGAATACAATAAATCAGCATTATTAGTTAACAATTCTATATAATAATCTTTATCTTCATTTTGTTCGTAATCGCATTTAAAAATGTTGTTTTGTTTCCACTCTTCTGCATTGCTTTTTCCAACAAGACTCAATATTTCAGCGATCGCCATTTCCGTTAATTCCAAAAACTGTGGTGTGATCATATTTTTATTTGATTCTTGAGTCTTTCTGGGATCCATATCTTTTGGATTTAACATTTGTAACAATTGCTTTACTGATTTTAAATCTGAAATTTTGTTTTTGATCTCGTATCCGAAAATGAAATAACGGTTTATGAAGATATTCATAGTATCCGAAAAAAATGTATTCAAATATTTAATTTGGTTCTCGTCTTCTTCGTTAATTGTATGTTCTTTCAACTTAGTTAATAACTCTATGTGGTTATATAACACACCGAATATAATAGGCATTACATTACCAATTAATTCTACATGGTTTTTGTCTATCAAAGACCTTTGTATTTCGTATTGGTCTGCTTTAACTTTGTTAAAATAATCTGTAGATAATGCGTTTATCATTTTATTCAAATGTTCACCGTTTGATTTGTTTATTAGCATCATGCTTTTCATTAACACGACATTAACTATAATATAGCTCAAATTATAATTGTCAATTTTTAATTCATTTAGAATATTTTTAAGATTTTCAAGTCCGCTGTTCACACTTTCACTAACACGATTCAACAAACAATCATAACATTGTATTTTTGAACTGAAATTCATTAATTTATCTTTAATGACGTTAATATCGGTATCTTTTTCACTCATGTGTTTTATGTCAAACATGTAATAGAATAAATTTGATAAATTGTCTATTTTTATGCCATTGTTATTACGTTGAAACGCAAATAGTTGAGTCATTGAACCATTTACCGCTAAAACAATATCTTCCGGAATCCCCACACTTTTTGCCCCTTCTACCAGTTTCTCTTCATTTACTAACCAAATATCTAACATAGAATTGAAAATACTAGCTGTGGCATTATATAGCCTGAATGAAACTGTATTAGGTTTACCCGGATTATCGTAGAATGTAGTTGCTAAATTATCGATTTCATTTTTGACAGGCTTATTTACTGCCGATATCCTTGTAGTACTCAAATCATTATACTGTAACGGTTGATTAGTTTTGCTGACACCAGAATCAGGAATTAAACCATTATTAGGTGAAAAACCAAATGTTTTTGATTGATTAGTACGTAGTTTATTACTGCCAGGTAAGACACCGAAAGTAGATACACTTTGTAATCCGACATTTGTCGCATCTATTCTTAATTTAACGTAAGACAAAAATATACTCACCGAATAAAAATTAATAACTTGCATTTTATTCGACTCGATCTAACTTGAACTATTCAATAAATAGTTTGTAACCAACAGTTTATATTATTTTCACGATGGTTTATATTGAACAATAACATTTTTTTTCGTCGATTTTTAATGTTTGAACAGCTTTCCTTTAACATATTGTGAAATAATGCGTACTAATATTTTAAAATAAATTTTATTAAATTACAGATAAATAATCTACAAATTAGTAGATATTGTCCATAAAAATTATATTAAACTATTAAATACATTGATATATTTATCACACCAAAAACACTTTTTGCTACAATTCCGCGTAAAAAAAAGCTAAGTTAGAAAAAAAAATAAAATAAGTAATAATTAAATCTTTAAAAGACGTGATATAAAATAAAAACTAGTAAAATGCCATTTTGTAATACAACAAATATCTATGATGACAAATATGATCAATTGTAAAGTTGAGTATTTAGTCAATATAATGTTTATAAATAATAATTACAAATAATTCTATAGTGGTTACTTATTTGTATTAATTTAAGTATACTTACACGTCTTGCCAAGTAATTAAACAATATGCTGACTAAGTATTCAACTCAGCAACTTCATTACTTATTTTAATTTTTTTTTTTAACTCGGCTTTTTTTTTACGTGGAGTTATAACAAAGTGTTTTTGGTGTGATATCGGCTATTTTTTTTTATAAAAAAAAAAGTCACGATTTCATTTCAATTATTTTGCTATAATCATATATATATATATAAATATATAAACCTAATAATATTACAATGGTACCTAATATAATATTATATTATTCACTTCTTTTTTAAAATAAACTATATTTAATAATGTTACAGAAAATATGAAAAATTTAGCGAATAACGCATAACGATTCCAACTATTATACCTATAGTATAATGTAAATCGTAATAACGTTAAGATTATTAGACTTTTACACAGATCTTATATGGATTTGTATCATTTAAATCATAGAAATAGAATAATATATCATATTACATTATTTTTTAATATTATTATTATTTTTTTTTTTTTTTATGTTATTCGTCAATCGTCATAAATCGTAAGTCGTCACCGCCGCCGCAATGAAAGTAGTGGGGATATATATATATGTGCGATGGATTGGGGGAAATATGATATTTTACGATATTTTCGTTGCGTACGCAAAATCGATTTTAAAAGTACTTGAATATTTTTAGTTATAACTTTTAAACCATCAAACCAATCCGCTAACGAGTTTTTTCTGATCTATTGGTACCTTATACGATTTTATATGTTCATTCGTTTACCCTGTAGAGCAGGTCGTTGGATTAACAAAAATTAACACGGTATTTCAATGGCACAACTCGGTTTTCTGTTGTTATACGTTAGTGGCTACCACGCTATATTTTACTTAGCTTCACGCCACAAACGTCGCGCGAGATTTAAACTGTTCTTATAATATGTGAAATAGTATTGCATAATAATATATAAATATTTTATTAATTATATTTTTTAGACATTGTTAAAAATATTTTTGTTTCATGCGTGTGTTTGAAAAAAATTTTAAATATTTTTTTGACACAATAAATTTTTTCATAAATGTTGATAATTTTTTTTGCTTAGTCAAATAATTTAAAATATACTACAAGGTTATTCATGAGTTTTACTTTAAAACTATTGAAAATATATTATATATTCACAATTTTTTTTTTATAAACTTAAAAATTTCAAATATTTATTAAATTAGATATTCTAATGGCAAATGACTTTTTTTTCTCTAAAACTTTTATTTATTGTGTTCTAATTCAAAAAAATATTTACTATAGAGACTTAAAATTGTATACCATGATTCATGTTATTATTTTTCTTACGGAATTAATCTTTCGAAGCGTTAAAGTTTATTTTAAAATATTTATATCATAAATCAATTATTTGTACCACTCTATGGTATACGTGATATTGACTTACAAGTTCATACGTATAATAATAGAAATTATATAATATTATAATATATGCTATTTTTTTATTGTGAAATTTTGTCTAAAAAAAGTATTTTTCTACTAATAGAAAAATACAAAACTAATATTGAGATGAATAAATTTAAAATGTCCTAAGATATAAAAGCTTCTTTACAGTATCAATTCAGAATAGTTTATCGTATCTATTTATACAATGACTTATCATTGAGTTAAAGTTAATTACATCCATTACAGTACCTCTTTCGATGACGAGATACATTAAAAACCTACTTATCCAATAGAATAACTTATCCTGTATTTTAATTTTAGTGTTACGCTTTTAGTTTAGATTGTATTTTAGCGTTAGATGCATGAATAATTTTAATAATAATTTTTAACATTGTTTTCAACTTATCTTAATTACTTTGCTTCAATGTAACTTTTTTTTTAATGACTTTCTCGATATGCTACACTGTCTAAAACGTTCAATCACATGCTTATTTTGTACTTGAATAAGTTTTCAGCCGTAACTTTGGGCCTCAGTTGTCTCCTAATTTTATGAGTAATTAAGAGTTTCAGTTCTTGACAAAACACTTAAATTGTTGATTAAAGTATATTTTAATATGTTCAAACATCTCTTGATTTTATATTAAATGGGCTTAAGCAAATAAATGACGGTGGACTCACAAAAATCAATTTTTATAAAATAAAAATATGTTTATGCTTATAATATATTCCTTCAGTTAAGATTAAAATAATTACATAATAATTATTAAAAACATGTATTTAATACATTATAATAACTTCACAATGTCACATAGAATATTTTTTTAAATTCTGTCATTAACATCACGTGATTTCAGCTTTATTATAAAATAGATATTTTAAAATTAATTATGCATAGTTGATCAATAATTATTTATCGATTTTCAATTCGTATCATAAATATATGATTTGAAAAATTGATTTTTAACGCGATTTACGAGTAAATATTAAATAATATAGTAGCAATGGCGTGAAAAGATTTTAAAAAAAATGTATTTTGAATATCATTCAGTATTAAACTGCTAATAGCATGTCAAAGGAAAAATCTCATTCTACATTTATTTTTCTGATGGCCTTAGAATAAAGATAACAAATAGTCATACTGATTATCAAATTAAAGACCAAGAGGATTAAGTTAATTCACGATCATTTTTAAATTATTAATTTACTGTGTTGTTTCTGGATGTATATGAATATACATTTTTGGAATCGTATGATGTTACTTTTTATTATAATCATTCTAAAAATATTTCACAAATACATTTAAGACCATATAGGTCGAGAATAATTATCAATTTCCATAATAGAATATAATATATCTAATAGTGATTTCAAATCTGGTGTAAAATATTAATAAAACCTAAAAGTACCTTTAATACAGTATCTTTAAAAATAAAGTCTATGGAGTCCATGTGATAATTTATTATGAACTTAAGTAAACCTTTGATATTTACTTTAATTTTGTTTCAGAAATGTATCATAATTGATTTACAAGTAGCTTCAAGCGACACCATTTATTTATCTTTCCTTTACAAATATATAAACTAATACAAACTTTCATAATATAAATCACATGATTACAAAAGTAAATTATTCCACCGTACAAACACCATATTATTATTTTTAAATAATATAGCTTTGTAGAAATGCTTTTGAAATTCTTAATTTTTTTTATACAAACCTAACATATATTATTATATATAAACTGTTTATTTGTATAGTAATTTTATAATATGTCAGATAATATTCGCAGATTTTATACTGTACGCAGTTTTAGGTTTGAATTAAGCAATTATTATTTTTTGATAAAAAGAAAAACTTGCTTTGAAAATGTTGTAACTTGTAGGTAGTATGTATTATCTAGAATTCTGTTATATTGTACTTGAATGTAAGACATCAGGATATCAGCTATAAGTAACGTTTGTGTCTAGTATAATACACATTTTTATGAGGTTTATTGACATATTTTATTTTCTTGATGCTCCCGGTAATTTTATCTCATCTGTCTACGCTATACAGATATTTTTATTACCTTGTATTTCATACTCTTATTTACCAAGTTTATACGTTAAATATTTCAGTAGATGTGTTTTAGTTTACAATAGAGTTCTGATTGCAACCCATTTGATCACTTCTTGCTGTATATTTTTTCCAAATCCTCAGAATTAATATCTTTATTTTTAAACGAAATATACAACTATACAATTAAGCACAACAAGTAATAATGATGATGAGGAGGTTTACATAACATGAAAATAGCACGATGTAGGAGGGCTCCCAATGGAACTACCTACTTGGATATTAATTAATGGAGTAGGTCTCTAACCCATTTACGTTTGAGTTTTCGTGGGGGGTTGTCAGGGATATGATGTGAAGCAAGATAACTAATGTTGAGGTTACTGCGGGAGCACAATTTTCTGTGGAGTTTTTGGTAAGTGGTTTTGGTGACTTGGTTTACGAAATTAATTTTTAGGTCTGAGTGAAGGGTTTTGTTACTAACATACCAGGGGGATTTTAGAATTAATATCTACGTAGAATTATTGAACATCAGTTTTGTGTTTTTAATGGTTATACATTTAATTGGATATATATATATATATATATATTTTAACGCTGTTAAATTCTATCCATTAATTACTAGTAAATTATTGGTAAGATTTTAAAATATTATTTTGTAATTTCTAAATTAAAAATAATATACTTAGCCATCGATGCATCAATGCATAAACAGCCATTATTTAGTAGACATCGTACCTAAAAAATTTTAATTTTCTTATTTCAATTAAGGCAATATTATAATAAGTAGAGATATTTCAATCATAGAACTAAATATTGAAGTTAACACTTAATTTTCTAACAATTATTTCACTAGAGTTAATATATATTATTTTAAACTCTATTGAAATGTGTAGTAACTCGTTTGATATTTGGTAACTGATTTTTAATGTATGGTGGTTAAGAAGCTTAATTACACAAGAACTATTATTTTATTTTGAATGCAAGTTCACAAGATACGCCTATTGTTCAGAAACTGGAACAA